AGCATTTCTGTGCATACTTTCAATAAAAATCACGCCACCAGTGTTTCCATGTGCACAATAGCCTTATTTGTATAAAGGAAAACACGCTCTCGTTTCGTTTACGTACTAGAGTAAATGTACGTGTATATTTAGCATATTGTATAGTAGCGTCGTTTACAACATAATGTTCCAGACATGCACTTCCATGGCACCTGGACTTTAATTTGTGTTCAAACTTACTTTTTGTTTTGAACAATTTCTAATGAATCTTTTACAATTAATTCGTTTTTTGTTTTGTTTTTTTAGTTGACCTGTTTAAGTTACTTTTGTCCCAGTCAATGACATGTGAAGAGTTCGCCACATGTTTAGCTAAGGTTGAATCACTGATTTGAAACACTAGATTGTTATAAACTGACTAGCTGCTAGGGCAGAGAGGAAAGGGTTTCAGTAAAAGAATTGTCTTCAAAACAATACAATGTATACTGCTAAGTTAGACCAAAGCGTAGGAGTTTTATCCCAAAACTGTAGGTTACCTATTAGTATAGGCCCCTACCATCCGATAGGAGCACGTGCCACCCCAATTTGAATATAGTTTTAGCAAAATATTTTCTTGGTTCGCTTTGTTTACCATTTCCTTACTCTTGCCTCCTTCTTTGTAAACCAAGTTACAATCCCAGTTCAACTAACTTGTAATACCCCCTCACCCGTCCACTTACGCGTGACTCACACCCCAGAGGAGTTGTAAAACAGACGCGTGACTAAGTAATTATAACGTATGTGTAATGGCCACTGTAGTATGCGACCTTAGCCTGAGGCGAAGATTAATGTAGCTTTACAGCTAGACACATTCTCTTCACAAGAAAAATAACTAACTTCAGGACACCTACACAAAATGTCTAACAAAAATACTTGTATATTATTCTGCTACTCAAAGAGGGGATCAATATAACAGTTTTCAGCTGCTATATTCTTTCAAGATGTCAGATTATGTCTTGTATGATTGTAGCCAGTTCTTTGACGAGTATGAGCACCATGTATCTCATACAAATATATAAAAGACCGAATTTGAATATAAAGGACCTGTTGTGACGATCAAGCTCGTCCCAAATATTCTCAATTGAACTGAGATTCAGTGATTGTGTTAACCAAGAAAATGGTTGGTGCACTAGTGCTCTTTGAACTAATTTCAAAGTGCAGAGAATTGTTGCAAGTTCGTTTGGGTAAACCTCTCGTCCATAAGGACGAGAAGTCAACGTTCTTGGGTGAACATGATTAGTGAATTCGTTCCGGAACACTCTTATATTATTCACCCATCTTAAGGAATCAAAGAACTCAAAACTATACAAGATAATATTCCCCGATTCACTAAACCGCCTTTAGCAACTTGCGCTGTTGCGTTTTTCTATACAGTTTTATTCAACAAACAGTGCAGAGAAGAGTGAAGTGTGGCTCATCAGACCGCACCATAAACTTCAGTAATTCATTATCTATAGCCCCCAGTGGCAAAGTGGTATATCTGTGGACTTATACCGCTAGAAACCGGGTTTCGATACCCGTGGTGGGCAGAGCACAGATAGCCCTTTGTGTAGCTTTGTGCTTAATAACAAACAGCAACAACAACATCATTATCAACGATTTATGCTCTAAGCACTGCTGAAGCCACGCTTTCTTGTTTGCTGCTGTGATGAGTGGCTTTCAAACTGGTTGTATGTAGGGGCGTCACTAATTACCGAAAATATTCAGAGTTTGGGTCTTAAGTAATAGCTACTGCTCGAAATAGTGAAAACATAAATGCAATGTAATACGTTGTAGTTTACGTAAGATAGATTCCAGGCACTTTGAAATACATTCAGGGTAAGGGTCTCGCAAGGTGGTGCACAGCGCCATTCCTGACTGTCTGCTCTGCTTTTGAAATTTTCTTGGTATGTTAAATGCATTGGTTATTTGAGGCACAACCTGATGTCTGTTGCACTTGACAAACTTATCCAGTGATCCATTGTATTAACCTGTCTCCAGAAGATAGCAGTCAGTTTTTCGACATATAAGTGCGTAGAAATATATATATATATTGTAGACTACAATTTGTAGTTCTTGCGTTGTCTTGCAGACTAACTTTGGTATGAAACGTTTTTCAAATGTTTTGGCAGAACTAATTAATTGTTGAGGCAATGTAAAACGTGTAAAGCAATGTACAACACAACACTGTTTATTGATATTTGGTTGAATAAATCGTTGTATTCTTATTTGGGATAATTATCGATATATCATTTTAAATTCAACGTTGATTTTGCTTCCCACTCCCGTGGTGTTCAGACTTTTTATATAAAAAAGGACGGTTACTTGTAAATAAGTTAATTTTTCTTCTTATTACTTTCGAGTCAAGCACTTCATTAACCTTCAATACTAGAGGAGGGAAAATCCCATAGCAAAGAGTTTGAAATATAGTTATTTAACTTATAATTTACCTTATTTAAATTCCGAGTCATTTATGTCTAGAAAACGAAATTTTCCATAAATCGGCGAAGGATTTATTTATTTGTTTGTTGGCATGCTGAATTTCGCGCGAAGCTACTCGAGAGCTATCTTCACTAGTCCTCCCTAATTTTGAAAGGATGGAGAAGAAGGAAGGCAGCTAGTCAACATAACCCACCGCCAACCCTTTTTACTAATGAATAGAGGGATTGGCAGTAACATTTCATCGCCTCCCACAGCTGAAAGAGCTAGCACATTTGGTGACTGGACTCGGACCTATGGCTCGCATATTGTGAGTCGATTGCCCTTACCAGCAGGCCATACCATACGATTCTAGCGTTGTAAGTCCAAAAGACATGCCGCTGTGAAACTGGGGTCTATACTATATTTATAGATAGTCTTAATTTATAAGTAAATATTAATTACTTTATACAGTTACGTAAAAAAAGTGTGCCATTTATAGGATAACCCTTATCACCAATAAGAATGAAACCATGACGGGTTGGAACTGACAGGCAATTCATTTCATGTTTATTTTCGCCAAGAACCATCACCCGGTCAAGGACAAGAACGCGTCTCTGCTTAACAGATTTTATACTCGAGTTTTCCCCCTTTCCACTAAGAGATTAGTTAAATATTGGAGTTTAACAACAAACACTTGTTTCACCTAAATCCTCCACACTCCCCATTTTTGTTACGTGTTTGTCATTCAATATATAGGGGAGGGGAGATGTGTACGCTTTATTTGGTATACAAATCTCACGCTCTGCGCCGGCCACGTGATATGGAGATTGTGAACTGCAAGTATCACGTGGTTGGTACGTGAACAAGACGTGCTGAATTGACGAAAGTTGAGATATGCCTACTTTGTGAGTTCACTTAGATGTTGAAAACATATACACAGAGGTTTAAAATATAAAAGTATACTACTTGTCTCTCTCATGAAATGGTGAAATAAGAATAGCGTTTCTTTTATTTATAACTACTATCACCCTCTGGACACTTAACTTTTTTCAATGACTAACAATACATTTATTTAACCCAACACATAAACTTAGGCCTACGCAGTTTATTTAGGAAAGTGCTAGAACAACACAAGGGATTCTAACAACGATAATATCCTAGTCTAGAGATGCAGAACGAGAAACCCAGTATGTTATAAGTGGAGAAAGGCTTGCTGTCCAGTATTTTAAAGTAATTTTCGCCCAAAATAAATGACACTTTTAAATTATTTTATTTATAAAAAGCACATTTTACAACATGAAATATTCAGATAAAAACTGTGACTACGATATTATTTAATAGCTATTGTTGCAGATTAAAATTTCATTATAATAATAATTTGTTTTAACGAGAAGGAAATTCAGGAATATTTCTTCCAGTATTCTTTATTTTACTTGCTCCTATACTAGAGTAAATAATTTATATATGTGAATGTTTACTCATGCATTTAATTCTTGTTAGGAGTGGAATATTTTACCATTTTAAGATACTACGTACGTCATATATTTTATCTTTAATTTTATAAATAAATAATATCGTTTCTGTCAAGGTCATTTTTATTAATTCCCGTATATGCTTTTAACGAAAGTTTATAACACAAATTAGACGATATTACTCAATCACTTGTTCTACTCGAATAATGATATAATTAAGTATTCGAACCAAGAAAGATAATTGAAAACTCTTACTCTCTGAATATATATAATATTTATCTTTTTTTAAAAACATGGTGGTAAGTGAGGTTTGTTTGTTTAGCGCAAAGCTACATTTATAGGTTATCTGTGCTCTGTGAACTGCTGGAATCAAACCCCGGTTTTTGGCGTTGTAATTCCGTGAACTTACCGCTAATCCAACCGAGAAATTAATGATAAGTACACATAATACTTTTAGAAACGTGTAACATATCTGCTAGCAAATATTTTGATTATTAAACAAGATACTAAGGTCAATTATAAAAGGGAACTCCAGCATCAAGATTCAAACTTTATCTGAACTCTTGTTAAATAATTAATATTTCTTTTAAGCAAAAGCAGAGTCATTATAAATCTATCCTTTTTATGTGTGATTCAATACATACCCATGTCACTAATGGACGGTTTCATCATATCACTGTATGTGTATGTGCTTCTGTAGTTCTTGAGAAATAACTATTAAACATGTTCATGTGTTTAAATAACAATTTAACACTAAGTTTTAAGATAAAAATGATTTATCTAAATAAATTTTATGAGCTTATTTATTATCGTTCAGGTGTTTAAAAGGTATCTAGGCAAAAAAAATGCAATATTGAAATAAATAAAAATAAAACAATTATTATGTTTCTAAAATTTATTCACGTTTATAGCCCACTGCGTTTAATTCTAATGCAGTTATTAATGCTAAAAAGTATGCGGTTCTCTAGAAAGTAATGATGTAAAGCAAATGGTTTATTTGTAGGATAGAATATTATGCAATGTCGATCGATACATTTTTTATTAGTGCCCTCTAGTAGAAACTAACAGCAGCAGTATAAACAACACCCAAGGACGTTTGAGGGTCGTCGAAAGCTTGTAGACAAACGGGTGGATTTGGTTTGAGTGATGAGTACAGTTTTAACCTATGTAAAACTGCGCACCTTCACTAAACATGTATTGAAAATCCGAGGCAAATCGACACAGTGACGTGACGTTTGTTGAGTGCGCGCACCCTGGGTTAATTTTATCCACATGCTCCAACTGGAGATGTTTGGATGACAGCCAGAACGGGGGTGTTCTAAAAATGACTGAACAGCATTACGTCGCGTGGCATCTCCTGTGTAGTTTGAGCTTGGCCAGTTGCCGGTATCACGCAGAAGCACTTGCACGACGACTGTACAGTAATTCTTGGTCGGCAGGAAGGTTTGGAAACACTGAAGTTGCTCACGTGAGTTAAGTTGTGACACTTTTAGACTTTAGAAAGTATTCAATGAGCAAACTGTCATTATTCCTATTATTAATAAAGCTTCACTTTCTAGGCCAAAACTTCTTTCAAAAATCGGATATTGGAAAGAAATAATGTTTGGTTGCGAAGAAGAAGAATTTTACGATCCTAATGATTCTTCGTCACCACCTAGTCCAGCAGATGAGGAAATCGTAGTTAATAAATCTGTAAATTTGCCAGAATCTTCTGCAGAAGTAGAAGAAAAAAAACAATATAATCCTAAAGTAGTGAATTTTTATCCCAGTGGATCTAAGACTACCGAAGGACCTTGGCTTGAAAGCGACTTCCGAAATGCTCAAGTAATGGATAAAAATGAAAGGCAGATTCTCTACGAAAAACTTCAAAAATATGCAGAGAGCTGGTCTGTATCAGAACCCGAATCCGAAAGTTCTGAAAGGTTTTATGATGTTGACAGTGGCAGCGATAGTGTTGAGGAACTGGACTTAAATGATCAGAGGAACGACACAGAAACTAAACAAAATGGACAGGATGACGCAACAAATTTAAATATTTCTTCCGATCTTGCTAGAGAAAACACACTATCCTCATTGCAGGAATACAAAGAAAGATCGCCATCTGATTGTTCGCTTGTAAGTATGAGGAATCAACAGATTTTGGGAACTAATATTAACTCAAACTCAGTGGTAGACAGTGGTATAACCTCTCCCATTGGTACCTTTGATGGTGATATTGCTATACATAACTTATCCAATAACAATAAAAAGCAAGAAATAGTTATTCATGACCTTACATCGAAGACTAAAAAGACTGAGTTACCAAACACTTCAGTTAATAGTTATAGCTCGCTTCAAAACATCAATGGTCACGGCGAGGACTGCGAACACAGTTTAGCTCATGGCACTAAAGAATCTGTATTTACTAAAGAAGAAACCAGAAAAAGCCTTTATAGTACTGTGGATGAAAGTGTACAAACTTCTGATCCTGATTCCTTACATCGGCGTCTGGAAGGGAGTTCCAAAAGTGGGGAACAATATAATGCTAGCGATAACAAGGACGAAAACAAGCACATAGAATTAAATTGGAATGTTTTGAATCGTAATAAAGAAGAAGATGAAGGAAGCGGTAAAAAACTTGTTCGTAGTACCTCTCTCAAATCTGGAAAAACGCCCCCAGGAACCCCAAGCAGAAAGAAAATTGTGCGATTTGCTGATGCTTTAGGTCTTGACTTAGAAGCTGTACGACATATAGGATCAGAGGATGATGAACCGAATATCCCAGCGTCTGCTTTCAAGGACTTAAAAGTTACTCCACATGAACCTAACCGTTCTTCAACCAGTTTGTTCTCACGATTTAGCATATCTGGTCCATTTGCAAGCAGTCTTGGCGTACATGCGCCATCTCACAGTACTCTTACGTTGATACCCTTATTTCTTCAACCTGTCACACAAAATAGCTTCCTAGATCGGGTTCGGAATAAAAACATCTGCTTGGAAAATATAATTGTGTCTGATTTAAATGTGCAGTGTCACGTGCGTGTACACAATATTTCGTTTGAAAAGCTTGTGTTAGCTCGCTACACAACTAATGAATGGTTATCTTATGAAGATGTCCTAGCCAATTACGTCCATGGATCTTGTGATGGGTTTTCTGATAAATTTTCTTTGAATTTTTTTGTTCCTCATATGAGTGATGGTCAGCGATTGATCTTTGCCATCCGTCTAGTAGCTAATGGTCAAGAATTTTGGGACAACAACGATGGTAAAAATTATGTTTTACGCTGTCACAGTCACAGTTCTGGAGTTTTTGCACCACCAACTGAAGAAAGCTCTTCTTGGATGCATCATTTTATGTGAAGTTGTAAAATTTATTTCGTAATACATACGGGAAAAAAGTTTTTTTTAAGTTACTGAGATGAGTATACACAGTTCCAGATAATAAGATTTATGCAGTAGGTGGCTAATTCTTTGACGGAAAAAGCAACAACACTCACACGAGAGACGCATGTCCGAATAAAAAGTACTTGGATGACTGTGTTTCAGTTAGTTGAAAACATTTCACACTGGCATGGGATTCAAACCACCGTAAGAGTACAATGATAGTGTATTTGTAGACGGATATCTATTCTACTACTAATAAGAAGACGGACATGCAAATGAAATTAATTTCAAATGGTTTCGACCCAGTGAGTATTTTTTTTTCAAATGCACAAAGCGCTAGGAGTAGGTTATTTCTTAGAACTATGTTGTATGCACTGCTTACTTTTTGAAATTTTAATTATTATTTTTTATTTTACTTTTTACATTTTGGACTGTTTTCATTTTGGCTGATTCTTTCATAAAAAAGACAAAAAAAATATATTTTAAACTTGACAAATTAGAAATGATCTGAATACATAAAAAAGCGAATTTTCACAAAACTGTAGTTATTCAAAATATTGTGCTGATTGTTTGAGAAGAGAAGCATCCACTGTAAGTTCAGAATGCCAAAATATAAGGAAATTAAAAAAGATTATATTACTCAACTCAGTACTGTGGCTATTGAAAAATTAATGTGACTATGTGAAGGGCATATATGTTTTATGTTTTGATGGGCTATCTTTTACATATTTGTTTAAAAAATAAATGTATAAAATGTAATTAGTAAACCTTAAAAGAGTATCTTGTAGAAAATGTAAATGTTTTAAATGACACTGATAATGTGTTTTGGAATAACGCGGTAAAAAAGTAATTATTAAGCACGATTTGTGGTCTATTGATTCTTAAAGAAAACTGTCACTAGGTTCCTCAAATTTAAGTCTTGATTTACATTCTTTCCATTTTAAGTATGAATTTATATTTAAGATGTAATAAAATGCTTTAGAATATCCAAATATTTAAACCTATTGTTATTTATGCGAATGTTAATGCACCCTAACTTCTGAGACAAACATGTACAGGATGGTCAAAATACTTTTCCTAATTAAAGATAAAGGCAAAAATAACAACAACAAAAAAAAAGAAATACACACCATGTTACTGCTTTCGAACTGACGGAATGACAGAAATTATTTAGACTTTATGATATGATAAAAAAACTAGGTTTCGAGATTGTAAAGTAAGCTGAGAATATATCAACTAGTTACTGGTTAAACCACTCCAGTTGTGATGAGAGTAGCATGGTGTCAGTTGAAATATGATATCATATTTGAATCACACTTATATGAGGGCGTAATTTACCTTGTGGACCAAATCTACACTTTTTTCTTTCTGAAAAAAATATAAATTCAGCGACACAAGTTTACATATGTAAAACCCCATATTAAAGGTTAAAGTGATATAAAAATGATATTCCACGAGTAATCAAATGTATATATATTTGTTTCACATTAAAAACAAGAGGGAATCATGAATAGCTGCGGCTGTAATTAGATCTCAAATCGGTCACGAGATGTAGCTATGAACCAAATAGTGTGCACTTGAAAAAACTCGGAGCAATTCTATGAGCCGCTATGTCGCGGCTAAAATATTTTTAATTGAAAACAATCAATTTGGTTTTTGATACCAATAGTGGGAAAATGTTGAGGCAGTTCAGTTCAGTAACGCGGGAAACTGCCTGACCTGGATTTACAATAACAGTATATCGTATGTGCCAATTTTGGTATTTTACTTTTAAATCAGGTGTATGTACATCAATTTTGAACGTTTGAACGAAATTACGGTATACCAACGTCAGTAATTTAGTGTTCTGACTTTTTTTTAAATAAAGTTCTTTTTAACAGTGTCTGATATGGCTTGGTAGTTAGGGTAGTTGACTACTCGTAAGCAATAGATCGCAAGATCGAATCCCGTCAACCAGCATGATCGCATTAGCAGCGTTATAATGTGACGGTCAAACCCAACATTAGCTGGTGAAGAGAAATCCAAGATACTTCAAAACTAGGAACAGTTAGCACAGACAACTCTCGAGTAGCTTTGGGCGGAATTCAAGAAACAGAAATTTCTGACACAGAAGAGCTTTCAAGTGGATTTGTCAAATCTATTATTTTGAAACTAAAATTATTTTTTTAAATATTGTTACGAAGCGGAAGTCACGTGGCGCTGGAAGCATGCGCGCTGGAGTTTCTAGAAGGATCATGACTGTTTCTGGCAACTCTAGTCTTTTCTAGGCGCCCTCCATTTTAGTATATAAGCCAGGCAAATAAAACGGAGAAATAAAAGCAGATTGAAGAGAGATATAGAGACAGATAATTGAGTCAAGTGAGCGGTAGTGACTGTAAGTAAAGTGCGTGAATTGTTGTGTTTTATAGCGTGTGTTTAAGTTCAAGTGACTGTGGAAATTCTGTGTATTGCAAAGTTGTATTCGAAAAAATAAACTAGTTTTATTTAAAAAAGGACTTGTATCGCTGAATTAGCTAGAGGAGTGTGGATTAAGGCCATATAAATGTATATCATCCCATTAATGCATTTAACTCCTTGGTCGCTAGTTTCCCGGAAGGGGGCTGAAGGCCGCTTGAGGGAGTCACTTGTTTTAACCACTCGCACCACTATCACAGTAGTGTGTTGTCAGTCAGTCAGTAGACACTAAAATGACATCACATAAGGAACGCTTAATTTCTAATTTATACTGTCCTGACGTCAGTAAAACGTGCGCATGTCAAGAATTATTCATTGTGTAGGCTACAACGCAGCATGACACATGAACTTCAAAAGCAAGAAATATAAATATTTGTTACTTTTTATTTTGGTTTTATTTACGCTTGAAACGGGGACCCTGCGGAAATGCATCTAGTTTGATGTTGTCGATTGTTATGTATCGGCCTAAACTAAGTTATGGGTATTAGTCACCAGGAGCAAGGTATTCTACTAGATTTTATGAAACCTTCATGTGAACTATCAAAAAATAACTGATTATTTTCTTACTATTAATATATATGGCTTACAATCCCGTTTCAATTCTTAGTCATTTGAATTAGTTTGAAAAATAACTAGATATTATGGTAAGTTAACATGTAATATTATAATATTATATCTGTAAAGTGGCACCATCGATATCAAAATAACGAGAATACACGAGAAAGTAAAATGCAATTGTTTATTGCAAAGTTACTAAGACTATGGTACTGCTGTATTTAGTTTAGATCTGCTGATCAGAGAGAGAAGGCAACCGGCCGGCAGGACTCACCACCAACCTTTGGGCTGCTCTTTTTACCAGCAAATAGTGGGATTAACCGTCACGTAATAACGCCCCCACAGCTCGAAGAGCGAGCATTATCGACACCGGATTTTGATCCCATGACCTGCAGATTGTGAATCAAGAGCCCTGACAACTAGGCTATTCCAGGTCTAAAATGTAACCTACGAGCAATGAAAATATTAAAAACACGTATTACAATAAATTCTTAGAATATTCATGACGCCTTTTTGCAAAACTCATTAAAAATATCAGATTGAAACATTTGAATGGATAGTATTATATATTCGATTAAATTCTTCGCGACTCCCTGTAACGTAAAAATGTTTTATAGTTGTTCTTTTTTAATTAAATTGATGTTATATTTCTGGGATTAGAACTCGTATGTCCAGAGGGTTCTAGACCGTGAATATTAGCTAAGATGAAAATGAGGTTAAAGAAGATATAACATTCAATGACTGTGTTTTTTCATTATTTTCGAGAACGTTTTTTTTTGTTTTTGCCATTAAAAAATTTCTCCATTTTTAGTTATCCGCAACTAGAAAAAGTGCAAATACAAATACCCTTGAGCGTAATATTAAAAAGTTATTTTTAATGTGTCTTTCGTGGAATGTTTTCAATAAATTATACAATATAAAGCACACGTATCTTAAACATTTTACTTTGGATGTAATAAGATCTATATTAAGGGGGGTTACAATATATATATAATATACAGTGTTTAGTAGCAGAACGTTAAATAATTCGAGCTTGAAAAATGAAACCGGAGGTGAAATATTGTGCTCTATAAAATGTATGGGCTAAATAATTATAACAATTCTCTCTATATCTGTTATGTAAATAATACAGTTGCTTATAATGTTGGTCAAAATTGAAATTGTGAAGGACAATAGCATGAATTTATTTTTTGAACATGCAAGATCATTCACCAAATTTGGTAATACTGACATCACGTTCAATGAAACGTTATAAGCTAGATGATGTTTGATTATTCACTTTTCATCATATTGATCAAAAGTTTTCGTTTGGTGTTATTATTATGAGCCCTGATTTACGTATTTGGCTGAATATAGTTACATAATAATTGAGTTTAGACATGAGGGTAACGTACAAACTATATAATTGCGTGATAAGTAGTCTTTCATTGTCATTTAAAGTTCCTGTTAAACTATAGGAATCTGTATTTATGATGTGTTTATGTAAATTGATTGTAAATAGTATAGCATTATAAAAGTTTATCGTTCTGTTAAATCGAAAACCAGTACAACCTTCTTTATATTTTTCGCAGCTAAAAGAAACAATATCATAAACATCATGTTTAATGAAAGTTGAGATGTGTTTCACAATACTACCCAGAAAAAATATGGCGTAATATTTATAATAACGTTCGAAATATATCTAAACACATCGAAAATATACGAATGAATATCTAAATAACATTAAAAGCTACTCAGTTATTTAGAAAACTAATGTAAGCATCTATTGTTCTTTTTTTCGTTTCACAACACAAACGTTGTATAATTAACAACCAATTCGTTCACTTCTATAATTTATAACATTGTTTAAGAGTTATCATCAAGTATTGTTTGTTTACACGAATATAACACGTGCACACAATAGATTAAAATAATTGGTTAGAAACCCAAGCATGGTTCACGCGTTGCTGTCCATAATTTCCAACTGCGCACCAGTCCACCAGCGGTAAGTCTGAAGGCTTATAACACTATAAACTGAGTTTCGAAACCCGTAGTAGGCACAGCACAGATAAGCTAGTTGTGTAGCTTTGTGCTTAACAACAAAACATTGTGGACCAAAGGGAAAGACAACCGGTTGGCAGCATAAGTTTTCAAGTTATTTATACCATCCAAAATCATGTTTATTCACGAATCCAGAGCTTCAAATAGCCAAATGCTTGTTTTACCATTAGCAAAGAGTTCCTTGGAGAATGGGTTTACAGAAAGAGAATATGCTGTGGAAAAGCCTTAGACACATAATATACGTTTGTTATGAGCATCAACAATTTACTCCACTAGTGTTTTCTACTATTAAAACAACTTCGATTGTTATTAGTATAGCTTAGTTTGGGTGAAAATAAACCAAGCTTGTCATTTAGCAATATTTAATTCATATTGATCAGAATCTTTAAATTTTTTTGTTCTCGACAACTCAAAGTAAACTACACATGAGAAGCTAATATGAAGTGTTAAGAAGCTAATCCACCACATTTACCAATTAAATCTAATTTATAACTCAATTATCAATTGTTCCTCACTACACATCCGTAAAGCGATATGTCTACTTTTTGTATTGCTAAATACAAATCTACTAGGATTAACTGTTAGTTTAAAACAAAATGACTAAAGTTTCAGTAGAAGTCCGCCATAGAATTGTGTTTCTGCATAAAGAAGGAAAAACACTGAGTAAAAAAGCTTGCGTCACTTGATTTTCGAGGGATGGTATCTAAATTATAACAAGTACAGAGAAACGGGACTGGAAGCTGTCTAACAAGGATAAGCAATAGTTGAAGATAATATCATTAAGAAATATAAAGAAGACAAACGTTGAATTGACAACAGAACTGGCAGAAAGATCGGGAATCGTTGTCCATCCATCAATAATAGAAAGGTCACTTTTAAATTCAGGACTTAAAGGATGTGTTGCAGTAAGAAAACCTCTATTTAGAAAGGGGAACAAAGCTAAAAGGCTAAAATATGCACAAGGACACATAAATTGGACTATGGAACGTTGTTCAAAGATGCTTTGGACAGACGAATCAAAGTTTCATTTATTTGGATCTAATCGGAGACAGTAATGCGATACGACGAACGACTTAAAATTATAAAAAGACTTTATTGAAGCCAACAGTTAAGCATAGAGAAGGTTCAGTTCATATTTGGGGGTGCGTATCCTCAAGTGGTGTCGGAGAATTGTTGAAAATCGATGATACACTGACTGCAACAAACAAGTTTTAATCCACCATGCTACCCTCAGTGGTGCAAGACGTATTGGTGTAAACTTCAATTTACGACAATATTGTGATAAAACACTCAACTGAAATTATTAAAATTTATTTGCAAAAGAGAAAAGGAAGCAGAGTCCTTCAATGACAACCTCGAAGCCCATATTTCAATATTATTAAAACTGTTTTTCCATATTTGGACAAAGAAAATGTAAAAAATAATCCCAGTAATTTAGATGATCTTTGGAAGAAGCGTGAAACACTATTCCACAGGAATTTATAATAAAATTATTTGAAAATGTCCCTAGAAGAATTTCCATGGCTTTGAAGGAAAAGGATGGACATTGTCGCTATTAGTTTATAGTAAGGTATATTGAGTATAAATGTGGTTATTTGAAACATAGTTTCTTCTTCGTAAAGATGTATTTGCACCGAACACAAAGTTTTAGTTTCCTTATGTATTAGAGTAGGAAAATGGTAAATGTCTAAGACTTTTGCACAGCAGTGTATATATGTGTACGTGTATTTAAATAACCAAAAAGTATGATTTTTTTCCTCTGACAACATTCCGAGTGTGGTTAACGTGTCGGCCCGTGAACCGAAGGATTCAGGGTTCAAAATGTGATGTTGCTAGATACGCTTCGTACTTTCATCTGTGTGCTTGTCATAAAAGTCACAACCAATACGTTTAGTAAAATATCTTACCTTTTAATTTAATTTTATGTAATTTTTACAGCATAAGTTAGTTATTTTTAATTAAAAAGCAAATTATTTTAATAACTTCTTTAGCAGTTTGCATAAAGAAAATGGCTGTGATTAATTTTAAATAAAAGTTAATATTTTACAGGGTATCAGATTTTGTGTGTGTTTAAGCGCATAGCTACACAGTAAACAGTATGCACTGTGTTACCATGGGTATCGAACCCAGATTTTTAGTATTATAATCTCTCGATGGTTTAGGATACAAGAAAACTAAAAATTTTAAAACAACTCTTAAAGTGGAATAAGATACTATGATTATTGATAATAAAGACAAGTTTGTTGCTTTTAAACAGTATTTTTAGTCTGTTTATACTGTATCAGTCATGCAAGTTAGAATAATGTTCATTATAAAAATATTAATAATGGAATGCTTCCTCCCCTGTTGGACCAGCGGTAAGTCTGAAGGCTTATAACGCTAAAAATCAAGCTTCAATACCCGCTGTGGGCAGAGCACAGATAGTTCATTGTCTAGCTTTGTGCTTAACAACAACAAAAAAATAATGAAATACGAAGAAGTCATGAAAAATAATATATATCATTAAATAACAAAGAAATGACTATAAATAGAATTAAAAACTATTTCTTAAACTAAAAATACATGTCTTGGTAAAGACCAAATTGGATAAGTTTTTAAAGACATACCT